GTCTCTATTTGGCTTACAAACCATATTAATTTTGTTAGATAAATATTAGTTTTCAGCTGATCCGGCAGTGGGGGCTAAACTGTGTCTCGATTTTATGTATTTTTAATGAACCATTGCCCGGCATTACCGGAGGCCATGTGTTTTTGGGGTCCGGTTAGTCAGTTAGTCGGTGCCAATTTCATGGCACTTTAAATGTTTAATTTACAATTTATGTAAAAACAAAATACCGAAAATATCCACATAGAAATAAGATTTTTTTTCTGTTCAGCCAGAGAAACGTATGTGTATCATGATAAATACCCGGCATTAAAATAAATTACAGCTTTCGGTTTCCCCCAGCACCTCTTTCTCCCTGTGAATTTAAATAGAAAAAATATTTTTTAATATACTCACCGAAAGAGAACAAACCGAAAAAGGAGGAAATCGGGGAAACTTATACAAACGTTGCATGCGAGCGAGGCAAAAAAATTTGGAATGAATCCGGAAAAAATATATGATATGAAGAGCCCCAATATTAATATAATTTGCAGGCAGCTTAACTGAGTGTCTCCCCTTTATCCTTTGGCCCTCCTGTCAGCAAATCAGACACATAAGGGAGGCAACCTTTAGTTTACCTCACCCAAAGTGCATTAAATTCATACTTTTCGCGGCTTATGCCAAGGTACTTAAGCCAAGTAGGGGAAAACACGGCTCCTTGAAAGTAACAAATTGGCTTAAGAAAAGGGGTGAACACGGCGCTGAGAATTCTCTTAGTATTATTTAAATGAAAGGCTCTTTAAGTATTTAATATTTAAGAAATAATTATATTTGCATAATACTGCGATAATTTCTATAACATTTTCTTACTGAATCCCAATTTCTATTGGAATAAAAATCCAATAATTTCATAAGCCTTTAAAATTCTTATAATATCCATATAAGAGACTAAAACGATAGGTCTCTTAGTATTATTATATAAATGAAAAGGCTCTTTAAGGTTTTAATATTTAAGAAATTATTATATTTACAAAGTACTGCGATCATTTCTATAACATTTTTTTACTGAATCCCAATTTCTATTGGAATAAAAATCTCATAATTTCATAAGCCTTTAAAACTCATATAATATCCATACAAAGGACACTAAAACTTAGACGTAACGAGCAAAGGAAAAGTAATGAAATCCGCACGTAATTGCATTGCCCGTAGACACAAAAGACGATGACAATGTGAGCTAAACCCCTCCGATTTTATCCACCCTGTAAAGTCCCTCTGACCCAACCATAACTTGTAAATAATTTATAACATTTTTGCAAACTTTTGTTTGGCTTTAGCTTTGTTTTGTCGTATTTTCTGTTTAGATTTCATTCATTAATAGGACTTTTATGACTTTCAGACTTCCCCGTTTTGCCCCCATTTGTTGCATTTTTATGTTAATCGCTGTTGTGCTCTGTTCTGTTTTGTGTTTCCACCGCTTCCTATGGCTTTTGCAAATATTCCTCATTTGAGGTGAAATTGCATTTTGCTGCTGCTTTTGGGCTAATTATTGTTTGGCCCCGTCGCGCCTGACATGCATATTTGCTGTTATGTGTCTTTTAATTGCTGTTCTTGCCGCTCGCCAAGGCGAAATATGCAAAACTGGATGAGAAATGTTTCCTTGTAATGCCACAGAGCCAAGGAAAATGCAAAACGACTGACTTAGTCGTTGCCGCTTTGCCAAAATGTGATTTTTATCAACCGCAACGTGTGGAGCAGCGTGTGTTTGTTTTGGGTTTGCTTACGCTATAAATCATCCGCACATCTGTCATTTATGTGGACTTCGCTTGGTGAGAAGCTCTGAATTATATATCTGGTGAACAGTGACGTTGAAAGAGGGTCTGTCTAGGTAAACATAGATTTGCAAGAATATTTATGCATTTATCATATATCAAACTTAACCCATTATGAGTAATAATCATCTTCGAGCTAATAATTTAACATTTCGCTGGACTATTACCCCTTTTGATTTCCAAGCCCTCTTATAGTTTACACATTAACAAATATTTGTATTTCTTATCTTGAGAAACTTTTACTCTACCTCATTCTTTGGCTATTTGTTTTAACCATGACGTCTGTTCTGGCCTTCTTTCTCATACTTTCGGCTATCTCTATTTATTATTGGTCTATGTTTTCGCCTCACTTTTCTACTCAGAGACGTCATCATGCGTTATCTTCAAAAACCCTCTAGAGCGATATTTATTTCCCCATTTCTTTGGCATACTTGCGATAAAGAATTGCGTAGACAAGACTTTTAACATGGGGCTCTATTTCTCAGTTGTTTTGTAGCTATTTCCGAGACACTTTAATGGGTTTTAATTGTGGCAAGAGTGTGTGACTGAACAAAAGTAATTTCACACTCGCTGACTTTTCGGCGACGTCGGTGGTCACGAAAGTGCAAAACAATTTTTCTTTTGTATGTTTTATAGGACGCAAACTGCAACTGAACTGCCCACCCAGACATGCCTCCCATTCTGGCATTTTTTGGTGAGATATTTATTAGCCACAATTTGGCAGGCAGCTCAAATTGGCAGCTCTCGCGATTCACTCAGTCCACCTGGACAGGGGTTCATAAAACGCAAATTTATTATTTATATCAACTCTTTTGTGCTATTTGCCGTGTCAATTCGTGGGACATGGCCGAGGTTACCATCATCCCATCACCCATTCCCAAAAACCCACCTTCCCCAGAGTTTACGTTTTACCGGCTGCTGCTGCTTAAATTCTTCAGCCAAATTATGAGAAAATCTTGTGTACCAAAGAGCATTTGTCACAATTAAGCGGTGGATAAAATTATAGAGGGGTCTGTAGCCCATAGCCCCTGTTAAAGTTGTAATAATGCAAAACCCCCGAAAAAAATAAAAGGAAAAGGGAAAAACTTGTGCCACGCTGACGTTGCCATCGACATTGGCGACATGGGACCGCGGTCCCTTCATCTCGCGTCCCTCTCACCTGCGGTTTACCTTCTTTTTTGGCAGTCGCGGCTGCTGGGCCTTCGGTTTTACCCTCCCTTTTTTTTTTGAAAGTCTATTATGATGGCGGGCAACGTCAGTTTTTGAAGCTCTTCGCCATGAAATATGCAAAGAGCAGTTAAAAAAACTTTTTATTTGTATTAATCAAACAGAGTTATTCTTTTCCCCCCTCCGAACCCCTCGCACTTTTGACAACAATGGCAGCAACTGCATTATAAATAGGTGCAAAGGCTGTCTGGAAAAAGGGGGGCAAGGTGCTGTGATTGTTTCGACATTTTTGACAATTATCGCTTGAACATTTTTCAATTCAATCTAGCGGTGTGAGTTGAGCAGCTCAAGGCAGCGATGACAAATTAGTTTGGCCATAAAACTGGAGAGTGCGATCAAAGCAAACAATTTGTCGCCAATTCACCCCACTGCCCCTCAGGTTTTCGCAAGAGCGTGTCCTTTGCCAATACGTGAGCCATATAAAAATCACATAAACAACTTGAACTGCCACTACAACAACGCCCTGAAAAAGTAACTACATCAACGTCATCATTGCGAACAAAGTGTGACGAGGGGTCTGGAAAGTCCTTGCCTCGCCAGGGATGCGTGCGTGATTTCAAAGGACTTCTCCTCCATTGATAATTGTTTGGATCCCTCTTTGGTTTAAAATAGCATTGATTTTACGAAGGATTCTATTATCTAATCCTTAGTATGATTTATAGATATTTCTGCAATTCGGACTAAAATATAGCTTGTAGTATTCTTAACTAAATGTCTTCTCCTTTTTAAATTGTTACAAATTAAGTGCTTTATCTTAAAGACCTATACCTAAGGCTTGAAATTAAATATTTTTTATTGGAAATTAATTCAGCACTAACAGTTTGTCGTAGTAACTTTTAAAAGGTTCATTAATAATCAATTTTCAAGTGCAGGTTTGGGGTTTCAGCTGTTCTTCCTGGAAATATTTAACCTATTTATGTATGTATTATTTACATCAAATATATATGATGTCTTAAGTATCAAGCGAAACAATTTGAAATCAGTTTCAAAGAAAAGGCAGAAGTTTTAAGTAAGCGTCAACTCCAATCATCAACAAATATCTTCTGACAAACTCAGCGCTACTCAACTAATAGGCAACGACTAGTGTTTAAAATGTAAATTTACTGACTTAGGGGTAAGTTATGATCATGGAATCACTGGCACATCCCTGGTCGTGTGTGCTCACCTCTTTGAGGGGGGGTGCCAACAACAACCACACGCACTGTCTGTGCTGCCCCGCCCCCAAAAGGGCCGCTCCCTTCCGCCGCCCAACGTCTGGCATTTGCAATTTGGCAACACATTTCGGTTACGCGGCCTTTACTGGCGAATTGGTGGACTGGCAAGCGAAGTCGCTTCGCTCCGAGCACTTTATATAAATTGTGTACAAATACTTTTTATGGCTCTTCGAGTGCAACCTATTGGCTCTTTGATATACGACGAGTTTGGTGGCAGAAGGAAAGGGGGATGTCGCGTAGATGTGTCCGCTTTTATTACACATTTTTGCTAAATTACAGTTTGGCCGCAAAGTTTATTTACCCTCGGCGAGTTGCGTGGCATTTTAATAAACCGAAAGTTGGTTCGATTTACGTTGCAAGCTCCATTAAGTGTGGGTAATTATTCAATGACTCAAAACCGAAAAGTTTGCCACGCATTCTGCCAGCTAATGTTGAAGAGCGGATTTGATAAATGGAGAAATGCAAAACTCGTTTATTAATGTTGACATTATAGGATTTCTTCCCCCTTTTTTTTTGTATACTATATATTCATTTTTGTGGGCCCCAACTATAAATCATCGCTCTAAACTGATTTACATTTTTGTCGCATTTATGAATGTCCGACAGTTGCACCTGTTGGGTGTCAGGTGGAAATGTGGGGAGGGTCTTCGGAGTGGGCTGAAAACGGCATGGAGATATGCGAAATTGATTTCCCGACTTGCGCTTTCGGTGCACTAAACATCTCATTTTCTTCTTTTTGCCCCTTTTACAGATGGCGAACCCATCAAGCTGCCCGACAATTTGGAGAGCCTGCCAAGAGCCGACAGTTTTCCATCACAGCGTCATCGTTGGAATACAAATGAGGTCAGTTTTAGTTCTAAGTTGGTCTGTTTCTGTTTCTGTATTGTTTGTTTTTTTCCGGGACTGTTTGTATTTGTATTTGTGTTTTTTGTTTCTATTTGCATTTGATTGCACATAAAATTGTCGAAACGGGGTAGTCAAGTGAAAGCCAAAAGGAAGTCGACGACTTCGGTGGGGCCTTGGACAGTTGACAGGCGGATGAGCCTGCCAGTCCTTCGCCAGGACACTTTGACAGCCTTCGACGACGGCTCTTCGTTGCCCCTGTTTCCTTGAGGCGCCACACACTTGTGAATTTCTATATGCAGATTAATGAGATGGCCGGCAGTCCATTAGGAAAGGCTCCGCGACGTTTTTATTGCGCCACAAACTATAATGCAAACACCAGTAAAACTAGAACTCTAGAATCTGTGTTCGGGGACCCGCTTTTAAAAACCTGACCACGCGTCGCCGAAAAGTTCGCTTCCGTGTTTTCCCTTCCCCATTTTTTTTGTCACCCAGGGATTCAGTTCGGTTTGCAATAAAAGTTTTTACTCGCGGAAAATGAGAAAACAAAAACAGGAAAAATTCTTTGCAATGAGCTTGGCTTGCTGTTTTACTTGTGAATTAAGCGCAACCGCAAATATTCATTTGGACAGTTGTAAAGTTCAAGCTGGTGGGGGGGTTTTTTTTTGGGTGGTATGGAGGCTTTACACACTATCGCAACAAAGTTCACTTAGTTAAAAAAAGCTGGGGGTTAAATAATAATATTATACACTAAACATTTAGCGTTTGAAATATTAGAATTTAAACTCCTGTGCAAGTGGTTAAAACCACTAAATCCTTTCAATCAGATACTAATGATACTATAATATATTTTATATTGTAATCTTTTAAACTTAATTATGAATTATTATAGAAAATATTGTTAGAAAAGTTTTTAATGCCAAAATGTTTTTCAAACTATTAAAAGCAAGATAATTGATTTATGTTTCACCCCAGTAATATAACGATTCCACCACCAAGTACTTTATTTATTAAATTCTTGCCCACCGTAAGAGCATCTTCTAGTTGATTAAAATAAAGTTTACCAACTGAAAAGCAAAGAACTCTGAATCCAGCAGCAGGACCCGTAAACTGAACTACATACAGGAACTACAGGACCTCTCCACCTCTACCTCTGCATCAGCATGCAAAAATTACAAAATATAGCCGTGCACGGGGCATAAATAAAATTACGCACGCTTATTTTAGTCTGCTTACAGGGAAAAGGGGGCAGTTGGGGGACGGTAAAGTGGCAGGATGACCCCACCCGATCCTGGGACAGTCGCTTTAACCACATGGTTTTAATTTGGCATTTAAGCAGTAGCCAGGGGCCAGAACACTCGACCCTGCTCATAAAGCAACTGCAAAATAATAGCAACACCGGGAACAAGCGACCGTGTGTGTCTGTGTGTGGTTGCAAAAAGGCGCAGCTTAAAAATCAAAAAGTTAAATTGATAATGAGTCGCAATTTTATGTTTATTTTTTTGTCGCCCCATTCGTTTTCTGGGTGACCCGAACTGGCCGCTCTGCGTTGGTCACCAAAAGGACCACTTGACTGGAAATGATTAAGTGGCATGGTTTAAATTAGTCCCTGCTGGTTTTTCTAAGGACAGCAAGTGTTGGCATTGGAATGGTTTGAATAACTGGATGAGATCTTTAGGATTTAGTACTGATATCAAACAATTTATTCCCTAAAATAGACAAATTAGAAAACTAAATGATAGTTCAACAGAATATCTTAGCCTATCTCAGTTAACCCAGATATATTTTGAAATTTCGGTTTTACTTAGGACAAAGTTTATTCATAGAAATATTAACAATGAATTTTTTAAAATTATTTGGATATTATAAAAAAACCTATTAGAACAGATCACAGTTTAAAAGATTTGGTATATTTGTATTATATATTAATAAATTCCCTACAATTGACTTCCTATTTGCTATGTCCTATAAGTAAAGTTCAATTTGCTTGGCCATGGACTTCCTATATGATTGATGCATCGTTTGTTCTTCGCTTGGGTGAAAGTGTTGAAACAACATTTGACTAGGGCCACGCCCTAAGCCAAAAAGGGCGGCCCATACGCTGAGGTGGGCATAAATTCTTAATGCTTCGCCTTTCCGAGTATGTGCCCGGAATTCATCATAAAGCGAGGAGTGAGTTTGGAGTAGGTCGCTTGAGCCATGCATAAATAAGCAACAGCCATCCATCTATACATGTGTCTATCTTTCCATATGTCCTTCCATATGCTCTTCAGCGGCGGAACAGCCAAGTCAGGGGCAATTTTGGGCAAAATGCAAACGTTTGCCACTTGACAAACACGCGCCTGTGATTTGCCCAAACTCCTTCCTTTATTCCCGATATATACAATTTTTATGACACTCGCAAATGCTGCGATATCTTCCCCAAAACTGAGACTCATGGAGACTCATGTTTGGCTGCACAGCTGAGGATGCTGGGGATGGATGGATGGCCACTTTGCATTATTCATGCAACGTCAAGGAAGCAAACAAATTGATAACTTTATCGGCAAAACATGCAATGAAATGTCTAAAATGGGAGAATTCCCAGTGAACTTTCGCTGACTGTTGTGTGATTTGCATTCGAATCGTTTTTGACTGTCTAAATCTTGAACTCCATCGTTTTTTAAGATTTTATATTCCTCGGTGACAGGGCATTTCAAGTATGCACACAAATTGCACTCGGGATGCGTCTCTGCTGGCTTTTGGTCTTTTGGTCTTTTGGCCGCCAACCTGGTTAAGTGTCAACTGCCGGCGACACCTGTAAATTGTGGTTAACACACGGCCACCATCTACAATCTACCCCCTCTGCTTTTCTCGGTGGCAGTGTCCGCTTTGCGGTCAAATGAAATTTCTAAAATGTTTTCCTTTGTTTTATGGCGCAGAAATCCCTCCTCTTCTCCAGCTTTTGGCGGAGGAAATGCCGCGAGTTCCGTGACTGGGCAGCGGAGTCGTTTGCCCATTAAGTCCGGAAATTGTTAGCACGTTAGTTGAGGTCAGTTAGCCAAGTTAGCGGGTGAGCTGGGGGCTCGTGGAGAAATGATGGAGGTTGGAAAATAACTTTTCCAGTGTCGCAGCGATGATAAGGCCGTTGTGAAGGCCGCTTGCGCTATCTCTGAATATTTTCACCAAGATGTATTTGTTATGCAAATATAGAAGTATGTACTATAGCTTTTGTTTATGTATTCCAGGAAATCGCTGCGATTCTTATCAGCTTTGATAAGCACGGCGAGTGGCAGTCCAAAGAGGTTCGGACCAGGTGAGTCACAATATTTAAATCTATATTAAAGTCCGTTTTAAGGATATCTTGTTCTTCAAAACATATAGTAGATAATATGATTTAGGGTTTCCTAACCAAATATAAGCATTGCATTGAATAATTCGTTGCTTATTTTTATATTGAATACAATTTTCATTTCATAACACCACTTTAAGTTAACTTTTGAATGAATTTATAGTGCAACAATTGAGTTTTAGGACCTATATTGTATTTTTTAAAGAGTTTTAATATTTTACTTGTATATAATTTCCCTTTAGACCCAAGAGTGGATCGCTGTTGCTGTACTCCAGGAAGAAGGTTCGCTATAGGCGCGATGGTTACTGCTGGAAGAAGCGCAAGGATGGCAAGACAACGCGCGAGGATCACATGAAACTAAAAGTACAAGGCACTGAGGTGAGCTCACATATTTTTTCCCCCGGTTAAGAGTCATTGCTGGCTGCACAATTAGGCAATTAGCCGGAATCGTTTTCCAGTCATTGCCATCATTTGTCAAGGGGCTAAAAAAAAATGGGTTTAACTCCTCGGACTTCCTTAAGGCTTTCTTTTTTCTTCTTGACCGTATGGGGGTTCCTTTTGGGTGAGTTATGATTTCCCGCCGGAAGTTGACAGAAACTTACGGTGTCCTCCCCTTTTTCCTTCGGCCATTTCGTCCATGGCAAGTGTTTGCCTAAGGATGTGAACGACGTCGCCGTTGCCTGCTAATGAAATAAGCCTTGCCAAGGGTTAAGCTTATTTATAATGTCTGACTGTCGGAGAATATCTATACCCCAAACCAAAGCCATTATAGAAACATAAAAACATTTGGCAATTTCACGCCAATTTTTCCACAGTTCCTTCGCCGTTTGTTTTTATTTTAATTTTTATTTTAATACATTCGCAAGTAAACGTGGCCGGCGAAGATTTATGCAGTTGGCAGTGCTGGCGGGGTGCCGTCTCCTTACATGATAACTGGGCCCAAACGAGGGAGATAGTACAGAGGAAATGCCAAGGCAAAGCGAAAGAAGTCAGCGGCATATCGCGGGCAACAAGAGCCAACAAATTTATCAGCGGGTAGAAAAAAATTGCAAAAAAAAAAGACTTAGCTAGAAAAAAGACGGCAAAAAGTCTTAAGAATAAGAAAAATGCGCAACGAAATGTTTTATAAGTCAGGGAAACCCGTTTCCTCAACTCTTCCGTTTCGATTCGTTGGTTTTCGGTTTGAGTTTGAGTTTGAGTCCTGATTTTTGGCACTTACCGAAGACCAAGTGGCGCCCCCTAGCGTGGGCGGTTGGTAATTTAATTTGGAATCCACTTGCTCTTCGTTTTTATGCTTTCCAATTAAATGGATTTCTTCGCCACGGGGGCAAGTGAGCTGCGTGTGGAGCGGAGTAGGGATTCCCCAAGTTTTTAGACCCTTTTTATGCTCTTGTTTGTGTTGCCAGATTGATAAATTGAATTTCCTTCGATTTCTGCCCCCTCTTATCCACAGTGCATCTATGGTTGTTACGTACACTCGGCCATATTGCCCACATTTCATCGCAGATGTTACTGGCTGTTGCAGGTAAGTGGGGCATCCCGCTTCTCCTTTGGTTTGCTCTAATCCTGGGAGGATATTTCTCACTTCCCGTAAACAGAATCCGGACATTGTTTTGGTGCACTATCTGAATGTCCCGTATCCAGATGATAATAAAATGGCAGTGATTGCGCCCAGCATCACACTTTGGGGCGATAAGAAGGAGTGGACCAAGGAGGAACTGGTCAGCCAGCTGAAACCCATGCGTAAGTGTTGATTTTGGATAAGAACTTAAAAGATTTCTTAAAAAATATTCAACAAAATATTCAATAATACTTCAATAAGCAGATTACCAGAAACTTCTGAATTGTGCACGTTAATTATTAAGAGAAAATATCAAACAAGTATAAGATTTCTTTTCGCCGAACAAATATCCTTTCTTGAAACTTATCTGTTTAGGACTAAACCCTAATAAACCAAAGTGGTTTATAAACTTCTAATTGAAAACTTATATACTATAATTTTTCACAGTCTCCACAATTAATTCGGATGATGACTCCGACTCAGGCAACGACATAGAAATATCGGTGAGTACAAGGCTGTATAATACTGGTTACAACAGCTAACTGAAGTGGATTTCCCATGACTAGACGGCGGAGACGGTGGAGTCCATTGTTTGCCAGCTGATGGAGAAGCAGCGATTGTCTCGCCAGGCTGCGTTGGTAAAGCAGCTGGACTGCGGCTGCGGGGATGGAGGATGTGCGGATGGAAAGACCTGCACGCATCCCGTGATGCGACGATCGGGCGCCATGCTTAAGTCCTCGGTGCAGGAGAAGCGGCTGGGCGAGACCTTCAACGGCAACACGCCCAATGTGGTGGTGGCCAGCAAACTCTACTCCCGATGGGCGGAGCGGCCAAGGCAGCACCTGGACAATCACGGCCAGTTCCACAATGTCACGCAGCAGTTGCCGCAGGAGTCCGCCATCAAGTTCCAGATCATTCCGCCGCAGCAGCAGCAACAGGATGGGAACTACCAGCAACAGCAGTATCGAGGAGCCAGTCAAATGTTGGCCGCAAGAAACAATCTGGTGATGCAACAACAACAGCAGCAACACCAACAGCAGCAGCAATACCACCAGCAACAACAGCAACAGCAGCAGCAGCACTTGAGCCTGCAGCGATTTGTTGCCAGTCAAAGCCAGAATTCTGTACATCTCAATCAGCAGCACAGGCTGCAAATAGCCAATACAACGATCACAGCCACAGCCAGAGATCCTGCGACGACTTCAGCAGCAGCAGCGGCAGTAGTGGCCTCAAATGTTATGGACACTGAACTAATTGAAAACCAAAACCACATGACCGCAAACAAAATCACAAACTCCAGTAGCAGCAATAACAGCAGCAGCAATGCCAGCAAGCAATTAGCAGCTCAAACAAACAACGAATTAAATGTCGTAAATAATAACGACCCCGGCAACAATAACTTTATGTACAATCAACAGCAGCAACTCAATGCTTCCAGCAACAACAGCAACCAGCAGCAGCAGCAACATTATTATAAATTGCAACAGACAACAGCAACCCCAAGCAGTGGTCAGCCGCCCCCTCTGGCGCAAGTGCAACCCCTTTCCTTGGCCCAACCCCCCGTGGAAGCCATGTGCATGTCACCCGAGCATCGCATCAGCAGCCAGCCCACACCTGCAACGTCTTCCGCTGGCAACAACACCTCCTCCATTTCCATATCCACTCCCACATCCATATCCACACCCACATCGGGCACTTCGTCCACTTCGAGTTCCTTACAATCGATTATCGATGGCAATCAGCAGCAACAAATTACAACGACTTCGACGGCAGCAACTTGTGATAATTTAATGAGCGCCAATGCGCTCTCTGAGGTGAGTAACAACCGCAAAATCGCCTGCAATCATTGTATTTATGTTGATTAAATTCAAACTTATTCGACAGCAGGACAGCAACACAGTCAACAATCAGGCCACAGAAGCCCTCAATAGGAGTCAGCCGCAGTCGCAGTCGCTGGCTCAACCCCTGAACCAAAATGGTTGTGCAACTTTCAGTGCTTCCAGTGATAACAGTAGCCAAATTAGTGACGAGAGCAGCAGCTTTGGCGGGAACAATCAAACAAGCAGCAACAGCAGCAGCACCGAGGAGGAGCCCCCGGCGGAGACTCTAAGTTTCTTCAACGAGACCTTGGATCTGTCCCACGAGGATATTCAGCGTACTTTGATTGCCAATATGCCATACAATACGACAGCAACAGGAGCAACAACATCTAGTGCAACGACAGCAACAGGCGGCAGCAGCAAGTCCAAGAACAATCCACAGGAGGCGGAGAAGAAACCTGAACCTCCAACCGAGGTTGAGGAGGATGAAACGGACGATGTGTTTGCCAATCTGGACGCCTTCGATATGCTCGTGGAGTTTCCCGAATTGGATCTGGATGACAAGCAGGCACTGAATAACACCGCTTTGGAGCAGGGCTCCTATTTGGGCGAGGCAACGACATCACAGCCGCGCAAGGTGCTCAATATATGCGACTTTAGTCCAGAGTGGTCGTACACGGAGGGAGGCGTCAAGGTTCTAGTGGCTGGACCCTGGACGAGCTCTAATGGCGGCGCCTATACGGTGCTGTTTGATGCCCAACCAGTGCCCACGCAACTTGTCCAGGATGGAGTTCTCCGCTGCTATTGTCCAGCCCACGAGGCCGGATTTGTGACTCTGCAGGTTGCCTGCGGTGGTTTCCTTGTCTCCAACTCCGTGATGTTCGAGTACAAGCTGTCGCTGCTGGCTGATGCTCCCTTCGATGCCAGCAGTTCCAACGATTGCTTGTACAAGTTCACGCTGCTCAATCGCCTGTCTACCATCGATGAGAAGCTGCAAGTGAAGACGGAGCAAGAACTCACGGTTCGTAAGCAATTTATACTATACATTCATATTGTTAATCTAATGTTTGGTTTTGTAGACCGATCACACTTCTCTTTATCTGGAGCCCAACTTTGAGGAGAAGCTGGTAGCCTATTGCCACAAGCTAATCAAGCACGCCTGGAGCATGCCCAGCACATCTGCCTCCTGGACTGTGGGACTACGCGGCATGACTTTGCTCCATTTGGCCGCCGCTTTGGGCTATGCCAAACTGGTGGGCGCCATGCTAAATTGGAGGTCAGAGAATCCACATATCATACTTGAAACGGAGCTGGACGCCCTCAGCCAGGATGTCTACGGCTTCACTCCGCTCGCCTGGGCCTGCGTGCGCGGCCATGTGGAGTGCTCGCTGCTGCTCTACAAGTGGAACCACAACGCCCTGAAGATTAAGACCCAGGCTCAGCAGACGCCCTTAGATTTGGCCAATATGCGGGGTCACAAACATTTGCTGGCCCAGATGTACAGGCTGGAGAAGGAGCGCTGCCGGAAGCCACAATTGCGCGGTGGCTTGGCCAATCTTTCCATGAATATGGGCGTGGAAGCGGAGACGGAGGAACAGCACCAGAGCTTCAGCGGCTTTGATTTGGAGCTCCAGCGTAAGCATGATGGGGTTTTCCTGAGACCTGTTGCTGTGCATAGGTAGGAGAGACTAGATTAAAGAAAATATTTGTATTTAATCTTCAACTTGATATTTTCCAACCCTAACCAATAGCAATCAAAGTCCACCAAATAACAGCAGTCGTTATTCGAAGCGATCTTCTATAGACAGTGGCATTAACATGGATATACGCAGCAAATCCGGCAAACCACTATCCAGGCTTCATAGGTAGGTCAATAAGCTAACTTCATAACTTGCATTTACTTAATTTTTGTTATTCCAGTAACTTTGAGAGTCATGACAATTATGCTCTGGGCGTTGACTCGCCGCTGGACTCGCTGACTGGGACCAACTGTCTGCTGTCGCCGCTGCGAAAAATGGACTTTGCTCTCTGTAAGTTTGGGGATCAGTTTCTGCATGAACCGTATTCCTAGTTATAGACTATATGGAATCAACCAAATGCTCAAATCTTCTCGGTAAATTCAAACTAGGCGAGGTATCCACGGGCGAATCGAGTCCCGTGCACGACAAAGACATCGATTGCGACGACAACTCGACGAGCGCGACCGACGTGACCATTGGCAATGAATTGGCCCTGCCCGATGCCGTTGTAGGTCAGTGATGGCAGACGGATCCTGCCCTGCTCCACTCTCAATCCAATCTCAATCTGTCAACCCGTAACAACCTCACCCGTAATCTGTACTGTAGCTAAAATCATACTAACCATATGGGGCTGGCTATCGATGTTTTTGATGTTGTTGTTGCTATTGCTGTTTGTTGTTATATGTACTCATGTGTATTTGGGAGGGGAGCTCGTTTAATCAATGTAAATGTTCGTTATTAATATTGGTTGCTGGTTGTGCGCCCTAAATGTGCGCTTTTATCGATGTCTACATTTAACCGATTACTAATTTTAAACTAACAAACACTCGCCGCCTAATTAACCACGAATTGATCGTTGTAAATATAAATCCGAGGTGTATGTAAATAGCTAGCTAAACACTCTAATCACAAAAGTCAATGCTTGTCGGTGTATAATACAAATAATAGTTAACCGTGTCCAACGACTTTTTAATCGTGATCAATTTAGAGAGTCATAAACGTAGCTTTGTCAATTTAGGCTCAATAAGATCTTTTGGCTTATTAAGCTTAACGTTACAAAGATAAAAGTATGAAACTGTAAATTTGTACATGACGGTGTCCAATTAAATTATGTAGACTCGTTTGCCATGTATTCGTATGAATGTATATGCCTGGAACTAGTTTTGTAAACAGTTTGGCCTATTTTCAGGGGATTCCGATGCCAAAGTGCTGACATTAGCGGAACACATAATAGCAGCCATGCCGGAAAGGATTAAGGTGAGCTATAATAAGTTATTCAATACTTGTTATTTAATGTATTTAAATATAAATCCCTTCAGAATGAAGCCGATGAAATGATGGTGCTGGGCAGTCCCTTGACAGAACCACTCACCTCTGAATCCTCGGCGCTGACGGATAGCTTTATGGATCCCCTGCTCGACTCGCTGCCTAATACACATTTTGACAGTGACTTTAGCTTTGATTTCCATGACCATAGCTATCGCTATCACGATGTCAGCACGCCCTGCTCCAGTTTAAGTCCCGCCAGCTCGGGACCGCTGCAGTCACCTGCCAGTTACTCCATACTGGGAACAGATCCCTCTGTCAGCTCACCCAGTCCTCCACCATCAACTAAACAGTTGACGGAGTTTCTGCACGCCTCCAGCATCTCGCAGTATCCTTTTGAGGCGGATTTCTCCAAGCTCACCTTAACGGATACAGAACAGCGCGAGCTTTACGAGGCGGCCAAGTGCATTCAGAAGGCCTATCGGTCGTACAAGGGCCGACAGAAGCTCGAAGAGCAGAATAAGGAACGGAGCGCCGCCACTGTTATTCAGAACTATTACAGGCGGTACAAGCAGTACGCCTACTACAGGCAGATGACAAACGCCGCCTTGGTTATTCAGCACGGCTATCGCTCCTATCGGCGAAACAAGCGATTCAAGAAAAGCGGCTTGGGTTTAGGGAGCTCCAGTGATCATGGAAGTGTGAGCAGCAACTCGCAATGTCTGTCTAGCTTTTATGATCACTTCAAGCAGGATCAGCAGCAGCTGCACGAGATGGGCTCCCAGCCCAGCACGCCCAAGGAAACCAGTCCTTCGGGTCCCTTGAAGTGAGTGGGAAACTATCTATCTGTATTAAACAATCATGTACTTATTTTAAATCTGCTTACCAGGCGAACATACTCGCAGTCCACCCAGAATCAAGCTGCCAGAAAAATCCAACAGTTTATGAGACAATCACGCATCAAGTAAGTACCACTAATTGATCCGATTAAATAGGCCTAATTTAACGCTAAGCTAACTCATGGGTAATGTTATTGCACGCAAGCATTTGGGATGGCAATTTGACGACTTTGGTAAGAACGTGTGAAAAGTTTTGGTTTGGTTTTGTTAACTCTTAATTATTTGAATGATTTTAAAGTATCTGTCTTAGATTTTCTGAAATTAAATCAATATTTTTTCACCACACAGACTACAGAAAGAACGAGCCGAAAAAGAGAAGCTTGTGCACCAACGCAGGGCGGAATACCTTCAAAACTTGCAGTTTCAAGGGCAGCAGGAAATGTTGGTGTGCCACGAAAATAAGTAAGGCAATTCATTTTGGTTTTCCCCACCGAAACAAATTAACAAATGTCATCTTTTAACAGCATTTCTGCGCCGAGCAGTGGCAACACCAATGCGAGCAACAACAACAATCTACACCAAATACAATCCAATCAGTGAGGGTCAACTGAGTGAATTTTTAACTTAGGAACAAGCTGCACTGTTCCATAAGAATTTATGAATAGCTTTAACAACCGAGTGAAACTTTCTACTTTCGTAATCTTTCCGATTTGGAAAAACAATCCCAAGCACCTCTGTAGTGAAACTTTGTTTCAAAATCTCTCTGACACAGACATCACACACTCTGAATTAGTAGCAACTACCTGCACTTTGATTCATTTGCCTAACGAATTTTAAGAAACTATGGATAGAAACACACATTGTTTTCGAAGTGAACGTAGCTTAGGTTAGTGGTCTTTTTAGGTATTACTTAAACCTAATCTTAACCGAAGATCGGACTCCAGGGAGAAGATGAGAACACAATTTTTCCATTTGTCAACTCGAAAGAACTTATTACTGAAGCCTTTGAAAAACTTTTTAACTCCAATTGTAGTGAAAAAACGTAGCCTGCAATATATACATATTATATATATACAATTTAAACCAATATTACGCATGTGTATGCCTCTATATAGTTACATTTGTATATAGATATTGCCTAACTAACTAAATTCTAGTATATTTTAACATACTACCAAGCTCTGCGATGCGACTAAGCTTGTCTCTAAAGCAAAATCCAAAAAAAAAAAGAAAAACATAAACATTAATCCTTGATCCTAACTAGTTGCTAAATGCTCTTTAGGTTTAAGCATAAGACTCTACTGAAAGTCCAAAAGTTGTTGTTGATTTCTAAAATCAGGTTCGTGTGTAGTGCGCAGCAGATACCAATTTATCATGTTTCAAAGAAAACAAACCCTATTCTAATTTCTAATACGCAAGTACTTACTACGATAATGTGTAATAAGTCTTAACTTATCTGACTACCTAGACTAAGCTTAGCTAATGATAAAAGAAATCAAAAAATGTTTTGGGTACTAAGCCCAAAATTCAACCAAATCTGATGGGCAGTCAGCCAGAAACCAGATGGAGGATCTGAAATTTCCGACTTTCTGCTGCTGCTTCCCCCAACTGATTGATCGCGCCAATCAATCTGAACTGCTTGAAGACACAGCCAAAAAAAAACCCAAAACATGCAAGAGAGAAAAGTTTTTTAACTAAATGTAACAATAAATGAATTTTTGTAAATTATTTTTGTCCGTCCACATTGTTAGCTTTCATAACATACCAACAAGAACATATATACTTACAAATATACAATAAATATAATATAGAAAGAGCCGATACTGATACGATAACTCAAGAAACAATTTTTAAAGGATCGTTCACGTTCGAATTAATAAACACAGGCGGCAGTTGGACGATGAATGTACATACACCAGCTCGAATCCGAATGTCCAGCACATAGGAATGGAGACACTTACCTCTAGCAAACCCAAAAAACCACAAAAAAACAAACTCACAAAAACCCAAGTGCAAAGAAAAGCAACTTCAAGTGCGAGATGTGGAAATGGGCTGTAAGTTGACTTTTACTCGACGAATGTTTGTCACAACCAGAAGCGCAGCTGTTGAGGGTGGGTGGGACTTAGGATCTATCACATTGTTAACTATTTAACTACGAACTATTATACTTAATTCGCACTATTATTACTCTACGAAACTTTGATTGCATTTTGCTCTAACTTAACTATGTATAAATCTGAATAACTGATTCGAAATGAAGACTAAATACGATTTCACTACTCAACTGACTTAAGAATTGCAATCAATTTTGTTAACTGTTTAGGCAGGGTGTTAGACATGTACCAGCTGAATACTAAATCCAATTAATTGCAATATTTGCACATACTACACACACAAAACACACTCTGGCTCACAAAAAAAAAAACAAAAAGAAAACACACACACAATTTATAAACCTCAAAGTAGCAACCTGAGTGTGTTTTAATGGAAGGAAGTCTTTTTAGATAGAGGGAGGCCAAAAGGCAGAGAAAACTTAAGTACCTTAAGCCAATTGGCACTAAAACTAAACTTAAATCTAACAAACAATTATAAATACCTATAACAGACCATGTATCTATATCGTAGTGGCGGTGTCTGCGATCGAATGGCATTTCCCCGGCCTAGTTTCGTTTGAACTTTTTTTTCTTCAACTGAATTAAATCTAATGCAACACCAAAATTGTTGAAATCTAAAAAAAACTCTATACAATACGAAAAAAACTATTATAGCTAATGTAATTGGATATTTGGTACTCACATATCTGTTAGATAATTTACACCTATCTTCGTCCTAATAGAACTTCTAAGTGCGGCGCATGTACGAAGCAAGCATTCTTCTTCAACTTCAACTAGCTAACTAACCAACCATCCAATTTTGTCCCAAGAAATCCAAAATTCATCCAATTGAACTGTTTGTTTCCGAATTTCAGCTTAGTAGACCAGCAAATAGGAACGGATATGAAACTGTTAACTAAACTTTTAAGCGAAATATACATAGAGTGTAATCTTTTTAAATATTATACCTTACTTGTATGGGATACTTAGCATGAACTATACACATATATCCGCAAACTAAAGAATGTTTAAAAAATCAACGTATTATATATGTACAGACACAGACACTGATACACCCCCAAAAACACAAAAAAAAAACATAGAGTTATATATATATATATATTGTAAAACGACTTTCCAGTTTCTGTAAAATTGTAATTACATCCAATAAAGTTTAATTCAACACTTTAGCTGGTCCTTGGGTTATTCCTGGGTTATCTGCCTCTCTTCTTGCCGACCTGCCAAACCAATTAGTAATCAATTTGTCTAAGTGAGCCGCCAAACAGCTGGCGCCAGTCATTATCAATGAATTGTCCTTAGCGCTAACCCTATCGGACCAAAGAAAGTATCTTCAGGTAAGGTACAAAAAAAAGGAAACCTCCAGCTGCTTGGGTCAGCGCATTTCCTTTTCTCCCAATTTTCCTTTTCCACCTTTTTTTTTCTGGTTCAGCTCAATTAACACTTGCTGCATTGCGGGGGTGAGGATAAGCTAATGGGGCGTAGATACATCTGTATCTGTATCTACTGCTGCGTTGTTTCGTAATTACGAGCACAATGCAAAATGCCAAGGCGTTCGCAGTGTCTTGTTAATAAATAAGCCTGCTCTCGACCTTTTGCCTCTGCCTGAAATCGGATGCGTTGGCAGCGTTTTCCGCTTTTCCAGCTCAATTTACACTTGTTTATGGGCAATCGCAGTTTAGTCCAAAAAATCATTTTACGAATGCCATTTTCTCGCTCTTCGGGGGCATGTTCGCCTCACTGGTTGTCTGGTTGTTTGGTTGTTTGGTTGTTTAGTTGTTTGGCTGCTTGACATTCGGTCTGTCAGCGGAAGCTGGGGGTAATGTGAAACCAAGCGTTGCCCCTCCGTTAACGCTTTGCAGCCACAACAATAAACACCGAAAGCAATTCTCCTCTCTCTCCAGCGTTTGTATACCCTTGCAGAGGGTATTATAATTTTGGTCAAAAGTTTGTAACGCAGTAAAGAAGATATTTCCGACCCTTCAACGTATGTATATATTCTTGATCGGCATCACTTGGTGAGTTGATATAGCCATCTCCGTCTGTTTATTTTTGCGTTTAAAAGCTACGTATCCACAGTAAAATTTGTGCATAATCAGTTTTTATAAAAGAAAATATATTTTTATTATTTATAATTTATAAATTGAAGATCAGTATCAGCATTGTCAAGGAAGTTCCCACGGATAATTGTGCGGGGCTTCAGTGTCGGCCTCAAGAGTTATAAAGAAATCTGATCGATCGGACTAATAAATCCTATAGCAATCATACGAACGTACCTGTTGTTTTTGGTTGATGTTTTTAACTAAATGTCGAATCCTTTCCTTGAAATGACTATATCATGTATGACTACAAGAGTATTAAATCTTCAGCTATCCGAAGCTAGCTTCCGTTCTCGTTTTATTGTATTTCGGTTTTTGGTAAAGTTGTTGTTTAGCTGGAATTTTCGGGCCATTCCCGATTGTTTCATGGCAGTGCTTTGTTTTTGTGTGTTTTATATATTATTTTATGGTCATTGAATGACGATGTCACTGGAGTGGCGTAAGCCGACTTCAATTCATTAAAAAGGCCAAAGGTATCACATAAAATTTAGAATGAGTTTTTTTGTTTCAAATTTTATGGCAAGTAATTAGGTTGAACTACTTAAATGTGAAATATTTCAATCACTAAAAATGTTGAAAAGAAAGAAATCAAAGTTCCAAACTTTCTTTTTTTATTAATTGCCTTTTATGTTCTAAGATAATTTCTTTTGATTACCGAAACTTAAAATATTTCACTCACAAAAGAAAATTAAGGTGGGATAAAACAGAAGACTTAAGCAAAAAACTTGACTTTTCTTTAATTAGGAACAGCGAGGGTATCAAAGAAAAAAAAAAGAGGAATGAAAAAAGCTTGGCTATTAAATTAGCATGCATCAGTAAGGTGTTAGTATACACCTGTTGCAATACTAAATCTTAATAACAACTTTGAGCATAAAAATATATTTTTTAATGTTTTTTTAAACTTCAGAGGCTTTTGGCAACTCAAGTGCAAATTATAGAGGCTTTAGGAACTCAAGTGCAAATTACAGTGATATTAAAACAATGCCTGTTTTCAGCCATCCCCTCCCGCTGAGACACCCACAATCCTCGAGAGTGGCACTACAATGTTGCCAGCGACATTTCCACGCTGCTGCGGCTAATCAACAATCGATTGGCTGCCATAAAGAGACTTCGCAGGGGCCATAAAACAATTATCTGAAATTTAAAAGTCTTGGCACTCAATAAAGTGTGTTGTAGGTACTTCAGCTAAAGACTGTGACTCTGCAATCTGGGTCAGGCCAAACTAAACCCTGATTGAAGTACGTGTACTTACCCCAATCGGAGACGACTGCAATTGCCGATAATTGACGTCAACCATTATTGGGACTAGCAGCGCATCATCCAAGTGACTCAGACTTTAGTCTGGCTAAAATCAAGTAAACAACAATGGATGTTCAATTGTTTTCGAGCCTGAGCCGCGGGCACCTGTTTATTGTTAGCTGTCAGCGCTTTCCACAAAACTGTTTAAATTAACTTAATTGCATTTAATAGGCTGCCATCGAATGTTACTCGACTCCAACTGCACTAAACACATCTTGTAGCCCGTCAAGATAGCGAATTCCTGTGCTCTCTGGCCAGGAATTAGCATAAATGACATATCAATTAAGGCGACACACGTATCCGAGAAATGCATTAGATGCTGGCCTTAGGTTTTAGCCATTCCTCCTTGCTTTTTGCCGTTTGGCTACTGAATGCCGAAGTGGGCTGTGAAGAAGCCGAGGCGCGTGGAAAATAAAAAATGAACAATTTTCCCAACTGGTCAAGAGGCGGACTGTAAATAACCGACAATAAATCACATTGAACAAATGTTCGAAAACAATTTGTAAAACTGCAAACTGCAGCAATCGCAGTTGAAGCTGGAGTCAACACAACAAGTTATAAATTTGCCACACAAAAAAAAGCCACAAAACACACATTTGTAGCCACACTTTGATGAACATGATTTGTGTTTTGTTCGACACGCTGACAAATCACCAAATGGATCCCATGGACCATGAAGATTCGATCAGTTTCCGAAGAGGAGCCCCTGCATTTGGTCACTCCAACGATTGTACGGCCAGGGAAACACGACTTTTACCCACATAATTGATTTGATTGCCGATGAAAGTTGCTCCCCCAAAAAGGCCCGACCATCAAATTGAGGTCTCCGTCATTATCATTCAGCCAAGAGCCCAAGTCACGTGCAGGATCGCTTATTGGCCATCATTGGGGCATCACTTAAACTTGGCCTATCGCATCCAGCTTCATCGAACAGGGCTCTGCAACGTGCTCGAAAGACATGTTTGAAGCAAGCCGAGTCGAGCTCATACTGAAGTGCGACTTGAGTTGCAGTTCGACTGTCCTGTTTGAACTCAACCTTTGCGTGGATAAAGAAGCGTTTGATTTTAACTTTAAAGATTGCATTGTAATTCAACAATCTTAAAAATTTATCTTTTGAACAAAATGAATAATAAATAATAATAATAATAATAACTTTTAAATTATTGTGATTTGGAATCACAAGATTTATATGGATCATTGTATGGGCAAAGAATTACGAGCTTAGCTAAACCTTCAGCTGAAAAGATTAAAGTAGCGTCACACAAACCAAAAATATAATACAGTTAAATAGAGTAATAAATCATATGCTTTTGGAGGTATTTCAAATCGGGTTTTAATATTTCAATTAATATTATAAACTAAACGAAAAACCAATTGTTGAACATTTGAAGTTATGGGGGAATAATCTTCGGGAGTCCTATTTGTGAATCCATGTTTACATTATAAAAATGCCGAAAAATTATCTAAAATGATAATCCATCATTTTAATTCAGATTAATAACAAATAAAACCACAAATTTTAAGAAATGTACCAGATTCATATACGATTTTAATGGGTAAAGTTTTGGTTCGAAATGTTTTTGTTAAGCTATTTATTCTGTGAAACGTGCTTGTTAATAATGTTCTATAGAGTTTTTATACCCGTGAGATTGCACACGTTTCTCCCCTACCCCATTAGTTATTTTCCAAAAACCTTTTTGCGCCAGCTGAACCTCATCGAACTGCAACCTGTTGGCCAAGTGACCGAGGTGGTGTGCGGATAGTTTTTCGGGGTCCGCTCAGTTCTTAAACGACACTCGCGCCCGACGGTCGAGCGATCACGGCGTACTCCCCCTCGATAAAGTCGGAACGATCCATCTACGCGTTCCTGGACCATTCCGTTTGGCGGCTCGGCACTTTAATTGCGTCACTAATGAGCTGCATTTATGTTAG